ACCTATTCTTAATAATTTAATAGTTAGTAGTCAGCATGGGTTTTTAACAGGACGTTCCACGACTACTAATTTAATAATCTATCAGCAGGCTCTGTTGAGTGCTTTTGAGAATAAAACTCAGATGGATTCAATATACACTGATTTTTCTAAGGCATTCGACAGAGTCTGTCATGCACTTCTTTTAGCTAAGCTGAATGCCTTGGGTATAAACGGCAAACTTTTAAAGTGGTTAAAACTAACTAATAGAATACAGAGAATTCATTTTTATCTTTTTCCGTATACGGAATATAAGAGTTACGTCAGGGGTACCTCAGGGTGGTCGCTTGTCACCATTGTAAATGTCTGTTATACGCCGATGACCTAAAATTGTTTAGTGCTGTTTCAGATTCTTCTAACTGTGATAACATTCAAAAAGATTTATTTACATGAATTGGATAGATGGTGCCCTTTAAATTTAATGGATTTAAACGTAAATAAATGCAATGTTATAAGTTTTTATAGAAAGAAAAATACAATTTTTTATAATATTTGCTAGGCGGAGTTTGGAGAAATCCACCAATAAAGCCCTAAAATTATTGGGATTTTTAAAAAGGAATCTTAAAGATTTTAATATATCTCGTTTAAGAGCGGTCTATTTGTCCTATAAGACTTAAAACTTTTTAACACAGTATTATAATTTGTTTTTTTTAATGTTTTTAATAATTTGTTTTATAAACATAATATAATATAATATTTTGTCTTTTTGAAATTATAAAATATTAAAAAAAAAATAATTTTTGTTTATATACCCATTTTAGTGTTAAATTTAACACGCTAAAATATTAAACAATAACACCAACTAGTGTTAAATTTAATACTTAAAGTTGTGTTAAAATTTTACACGATTTCGTGTGGAGTTGTTGCATCGTGTAAAGTTGTGTTAACTATTTTTTACAGTGCAAGCTTCTAGTCTAGGTCTTAAATATAATCATAATTTTAACTTTCTTCAGAACTCATTAAATCATCTTTTTATATCTCATTGAAATATAAATATAAACTCTTCCATTAAACTTTATATATTAGGGTGTGTAATTTTTAAGCAACTTTTTTTTTCAACTAAAAAACAGGTCAAAAAATAAAACCCGACTACAATCGAGTTTTTAATTAAATTTGTTTAGTTTTATTTTTTTTTGTAATTTTATTATTATATTTAAAATAATGTTAAGTTTTTGATTGCTACTTTCTTTGAAATGTGTATACTTTCCAAAAAAAAATTCAATTTTTCCCAAAAAAGACAACTTTTCCAGGGCTTGGGAAAAAAACGGAAAAAACAGGTTATTTCCTAATTTTTCCTATTTTTTTTTCTGACACTTTAAAACCCTTATCCTGTATTCTTTTAAATATCGAAGTTTTTTTAACGATTTCCTGGGGGTGTTGACTTCTGGGACACTCTGTTTATGACAAAATTGGATTTAATTTATTTAAGTTATGAAATGTTTTGTCCCTTAAATAAATACCACCTTGTTGGTCTTGAACTTGAACAATTTACTTAAAATTTTGAAAGATAATATAGAATAATTCAAATGAATATCAAATTTTTATCGCTTTATCATAATTTCCCAAACAAGGATTGGCTCATGAACCATGGACCGGACCGTTTTTGGCTGTTCACAATGTCAATGTAAAAAAACGGTTCAGTCGAACTTTTTTTGCAAGACCAGTTTTGCAAAATAGCTCCACAAACGGTCCGGTTACATGAACCGTATTTGGGACTGAACCCCTGTCGAACCGGTCCGTAGACCGATATATTTCTACGGTTCACAATCCTTTTATTTTATAGTATGTGTAAATATTAAAATTTTATATAAAAAAAACTATTAAGCGTTGAGACTTGGTCTTAAATACAAAAATCGAACTCGACTGAAAATTCGGAAAATCATCTTTTTGTATATTTTTTATGGAAATATGAATAAAAACTTGGATATGGCAATATTTAATTTGGTTTATTTAAGTTATGAAATTTCTGTTTTAAAACTGATAACCGATTTAATTGAAATTCTGCAATGTTAAAGAAGATGAAATTGTTGGATTAAAATTTGCAATCAATAATTTTTAACAGCTAATTTTATTTTTTTTTCATTGTGTATAATCAAAAGCTAGTTTTAAATTACTAACATTATTGCTTTACAAAATAACTTGCATAATGTATAATTTGAAATAAGGATTCAAGTGGAAATTGTTGCACTGGTCATACTTTAGAAACTATTAAATTTAATGCAGTTTTTAGATCGGTCAAAAATAAATTACAAAACAGAACAAATGGTGGTGATTAAATCCTTGACAAGGATGGATTTGCGATCTAGGAAAGTGCAAATTTAAAATAATTTTTCACAAAAACTACAACACGGTTGTAATTTATAAGGTTACTTTTGTAATAAATTGTAACTGATCTTTATTTATAGTTTTGGATTTACATTAAAAAAGTGTTTTTTGTTTAATTGGGATTTTTATAGATATTATAATTTGAACCTTTACTAAAAAAAAATTTAAGGTTTCAGAAAATTATTTAAATTTGTTAAAGAAATTCCAAAGAGCATTATTTTTGGTAAAAGTTAAATGATTTGCACGGATTAGGTTTCTAAGAAAATCATTAAAAAGCATATAAGACTTACCTATTGGGTTATTTAAAGATGTTAATGTTGTTTTTAAATTGCTTGTTATTTCTGAAAAAACAACAATTTATAATGCATTGGTTAATATTATACTACACGCTTAATTAACTATAAGTAATACAATAAATTAATTAATTTTAACAAATTTTGTATTTAAACAAACAAATTTTTCCATGTTCATTCAAAAACCATAATAAAGAAAAGAAACAATTTAAATCGTAATTATTTCCATTTTCTCATTTTTTTTATTTATTTTCCAATCAAATTGAAAATACAATATGAAGCGATCCGAGAAAAGGGACCTATAGCATCCAAAAGCAAGTTTTATAGGAGAAGTCATTGAAGTTCAGGCGGCATAGGCGTGTGTGTAGTAACGCTCGACTTTAAAAAATTAATAGCCTATATATATATTATTAATCACAAAAATACACTGCAATATTTTATCCAGGGCGTGCAACACAACGTTATAGAATTTTTTCTTAAAGTCACAGACTGTAACAGTAATTTTTTCTTATGGTCACAGACTGTAACAGTAACTTTTACAGTTACCTTCTTTGTAGCGAGCTTATGTTCTGTCATAGAACTTTTGTGCAGTGAGTGTCACTCAGTGAAACACAGTTTATTGCATAGAAATAGTTTATTGTGGGTATGTTCTGTGTTTGAATATGCGGCTAAACAAAATTATAAACGAAACTTGAACTTTTAATGTTTTTTTTTTTACCTAAAATGCTGTTTTTTAACCTAAAATGCTTTTTTTAGTACCTTTTTAGTTACCTATTATTCAGTTTTTAGTACCTAAATATCCCATCTTTATTAATAAGTAAAAAATTTTAACTCTAAAACACCTTTAACAATCCTTATGAAATTTTGTTTAAAATACTTCAACTTATATCTCAGTTTACGTGTTGGAGGGTTTTTCGAGAAAATATAATAAAAAAACGTTCGAAAAATAACTTTTAGGGTTTATTTTTTAAGTAAATAAAAAATATGATGTTAAAGACCGCCTTTTTGTTAGAACAACCTAAAAATTTTATTCAAATCAAACGAACAGTAACGAAGATAAAGCGCTTCAAAGTCGTCAAAAATGACCACTTTTCAGCAAAATAATCAAAAAGTTTACAGAGTATACTAACAAAAATACGGTCTCTAACAGCATATATTTTATTTACTTAAAAACAATTACTAAAAGTAGTTTTTTAACGTTTTTTATTATTAAATATAAGGGCTTTAAACATATTTTCTCGAAAAATCCTCCAACACGTAAACTGAGATATAAGTATATTTTATACAAAATTTCATAAAGATTGGTAAAGGCGGTTTATAGTTAGAATTTTTTACTTATTATGCGTTAATTTTGACGCGTAAACTGAAATATAAGTTAAAGTATTTTTATACAAAACTTCCAAAAAGATTGGTACAGCTGTACAGGCGTTTTAGAGCTAGAACTTGTTTACTTATTATGCGTTAATTTTGACGCGCAGTGTTTTTGAAAACTAGGTCACTTTTCTCGGATCTCGTCACATATATAAACAAATATAAACTTTTGTATGTTCCACCACTTAATGTTTAGGAACGGATAAGTACCTTAATATATAGACTCCTGATTTAAATCGCATACTAACATAACCAACGTAATCAACCCTTGCGGGCTTCTAATTAAAAAATGAATTCTTTCTCAGAAAGTGGCTATAGATGTTAGATCTGGTAATCTTTCTGGCCATTCTATGTGTCTATATGTGTAAAGGTGTCATTAAAATATTTCCCTACAGGAAAAGCATTGTGGGGTGGTGCACGGTTTTATAGAATGGCCAACAAGAATACCAGATCAAATACCCCTGGACTTTTTTTCATGGGAACATCTAAAAACCATAGTGTTTAAACAAAACCTGCCAATTTAGATGATTTAAGAAATTAGAAGGTGTTAAATAGAGTGCAGGAACAATTTCACAGTAGGTTAAGTGTCAGCAAATAACATTTTAATTATTTTTAGGATTATTTTTCATTTTCTTTTTATAAAAACTACAGTTTGGGTGTCCAAGCGTTTTTCGTAAAATGAAAAGTTTCTCATTGAATAACGAATTTTATCCGCATCAATAATTGTTTTAAAGATTTTTTGGCACTTACATCTTACCAGTTTTTAACGCTTGGGATTACTTTTGGCGTTTGTAATGTTTTGAAGTCGAAAAATTTACTGGAACGATTTCCATCGAATAAATGAATATACGATTAGTTCTGACCGTTTTAAATGAAATGCTAAAATGCTAAAACGAACATTGATCCTTGTAATAAACGGAACGAATAAAAAACCTTTAATTCGAAAAGGTTTAATTTGAAACTGTAGATACTCACCTAAAATTAAATTTGACTCTGTCGTAGTGGTAGTAGTGGTGGTCGTCGTCGTGGTTGTTGTAGTCGTTGTGGTTGTAGTTAGTTTTATTTCTGAAAAAAAACATTTTTTTAACGTGCGGTCCTGCGTATAAGGTGCTCTTAAAATATTTTTAAATAGTTTAATGATTTTAAGACATGGATTTAGGACATTTAAGTTTTGTCTGGACAGTGTTAAGAAGGTTGTGATATGTAAAATAGTTTTATCACATTATTAAATAGTTTTAAAACATTAGGTTTTGATAATCCATTTTTAGCAAGGTTTATGTAATGTTTAATTTTTAAATAATGTATACTTCCTTGCTTGTTTATATTCTTTATTTGCGACTAGTTTCGGTTGTACACCATCTTCAGGCAAACTACAAATAATGAGGTATTAAATAAGAAAGAGAAGAGAAAATAATTAAAAAACAAGAAAAAATACTTTTAAACAAACACCTCTTGAACCTCACTAATAAAACCAAAGAACATACATACATAAAATTTCATATCAGGGAACTATAAACAATAAAATAGCAAAAATACTTAAAAAATACAAAATCACCTGCGCAACATCACAAAAAGGAAACCATATCAACTGCCTAAAAAACGGAAAAGACAATACACATTATCTCAATAAAAACGGAGTATACCTACTGCATAACATGCGAAGAATGCGATGCAAAATATATTGGGGAAACAGGAAGAAGTATAAAAACAAGAATTAAAGAACACATAAAAGATACCAAAACATCATACTTTGGAAGACATCTACAATCAAGCGGACATAAATTTGAAGATTTGAAAAATATAAAAATATTACATCAAGAAGAAGCCTATGAAATAAACAAAAACAAAGACAAATGTAACCTACTAAACGAACAAGTAGAATTATATTTTGAACCAATTTTCAAACACCTGTAAGACCACAACCAACATCTCACACCTACCACAAAAAACATTTATTTATAAAGTGTAAAAATTGTCTAAAACTTCTATGTTCGTAATATATTATTCTATTTTAACTCATACTTTAAAACTTGACATTGTAAGTAGATACTAATTTTACATGTTTAACTATATTTATAATAATCGTAATTAACAAATATTTTAACCAAAATAACTTTATAATTTTTTAAATATTTATTTAATACCTCATTATTTGTAGTTTGCCTGAAGATGGTGTACAACCGAAACTAGTTGCAAATAAAGAATATAAACAAGCAAGGAAGTATACATTATTTAAAAATTAAACAGTTTTAAAACAGTTTGACGTTTGAATAAAATTTAAGAAAATTCCAATATAGTTTTATGATACGACGGTTATGGACCTTTTTAGGACATCTAGTGGCTTAAAATATTATAAAAGATGTAACATAAAGGTTCAAATAAAAATGAAATAGTGGACTCCTTGGTAAAAAATAATATATTAAACTATAGTTTCAAAATTTATTTTACAATATGGAACCTTATTTTTTGTTTAGAACCATTACTTAAAAATTAAGTTTAAAATAGTTTTTGTTTTTTATCATAGTTTTAAGTTTAAAACATTTCAATGGATTTGGTTTATTTTTAAACTCAATTTTTAGTTAATCTATAAAATTCCTAAAAAGGATTTGAATTTTATTATATTTATAATATTATATTATACTTAATAATTAGGTCAGTGACTCTCCTCACCTCGAGACGCGAGTACGTTAGTACACATATAGTACTACCACGTCATTGCTATTTATAAAATAACATATTCTACACGTGATCTACCAGAACCAAGTGCAAAAAGGGTGTACATTGCATGAAGCACCTCAGCCTGAATTAAGTCCCAGAGTGCTCTACCTGTGTTAAAAGGGTTTGAGACTCAACTTTGAGTGAGGTAAGTGAGGTTACTACAACGAAGAACTTCCAGGAGTACAAACACAAAAACAACGCGTGCCAATAGTGGGCGGTCAAGGTTAAGGAATAACTTTACCACACCTTCCTAGGTATCATGTTTCTCTTCAGTTCAATTCCAACTCTGCATAAACCTATAAGTAAAATTAACAAAATTTCATGGCCTTAATATTACTAAATATACCTTAAGTAACAAAAAACTCCACTAGGTAAAAATTAGTCGCCAACATTTTCCATAAAAACAGCAACAAAGCCAATAAACCAAGAACGTTAACATAAACATTAATAAATTAATCAAGTTCAGACAAACACTAGGCAAAATAAACTCGCCCTAAGGGGACCATAAATTAGATAACCAACCGAAGGTGACGTAATACGTCTATGCGTAACTGCACAGTGCGGTGCATCGTGGTCGATAGTCAGCAAGCTTGGAACCCACTCAAGCACAGAAGAACATGTACAAAAAGACCAGCAAGGATAGGTCCTAGCTGCTTATTAATCACCAAATTCCAATAGTTTTGGGTCAGTTTATGTCCCTCAAAAACAAAATGTTTTCCCCCCTTGTCCCGTTCTCCACTAAATCGGGCGTATGGCCCGGCCCGGCGACAAAATTTCTTAACCACCGACACTGTCATCCACGACCTCCTAGGCGAGATTTACCAACTAGGGTGAAAATTTTTATCCACCAAACACAGGTAATGCTGTGTAGTGGCGAGATACGTAGAAGAACAGAAAGGGGTTAAAATAACCGTGGGAGATCAGTGTAAGGCGATGCCGATAGGGCCTGCCATACGTTTCTTATTCTTATACTCATACTCAATTATACAAAAGTGCTCTTTTAGTTCCACCCTTACTTCTTAAGAAGTCCCATAAGCCAACTAAATGGCTTGTGCGGGTTAGGGGTAGGAACGGACCGCGGGCTTAAAGTCCCCTCCAAAGGAATAATACACAATAGGACAAACACAAATAAACAGCCATACCCCTGGTGGGATTCGAACCCACGACCTTCGGCTTGTAGTCAGCAGCACTAACCACTAGACCACCGTCGGCGGCATTATTATGGAAAATAAAAATGGTGTTCACTGGTGTACCTACTGATTCTTTAATAAAGTACAAGTAACTACAAGAAAAACACCGAAACAACATTTTGTTTTCTGTCAAATTATTTTTACAAAAGCACAATTAGCAATATTAAACCAATGTTTTGCCATTCAAATCTTTTAATTTATTTAGGAAAACTTTTGCATTTAATCCCTTTCCCTTAAAATTAATGCTATAAATCTTACTTATACTTTCATCATCTATGCTGTACGAATAATATTTAAAAAAGAAAGATAAATATTGGAAATAATATTCTAAGAAAAATAAGGTTGTTAATTTTATATAATTTACAATATTTGTTTGCTGTTTTTGTGATTTTTTCGACCCGCCGCACAGTGGTCCAAAAGCCCAAAAACATGGTCAAAATATGAAGGTTTAGTTTTATGTTTACCAAAACAGGGACTTAAACATTTTTGGGGTCCCTGATTACGAATTTGATATTCTTTTTTTCAAAAACAAAATGGCGGATCCAATATGGAGGACATTTTTTTAACAAATATTCTGATATCGCTTAAATTTGACAACGTGTGGTTTTTGAGGTCGCTAATTACGAATTTTATATTTATTTTTTGAAAAACAAAATAGCGGACATTATGGAAGACATTTTTTTTCCAAAAAAATGTTCTGATATCGCTAAAATTTAGCAACCTGTGTTTTATGAGGTAGCTGATAACAAATTTGATATCCATTATTCCAAAAACAAAATGGCTTATCCAATATGGCCGACATTTTTCAAATAAATTTAGACTTTTTTTTGGTTTATGAAAGGATTAAGGATTAGAAAACCCATTGAATTTAAGATGGATAAACAAAATAACGATGCAAAATAAACATTTATTCAATAATTTAAATTATATTTATTCAACGCAATAAAAAACTATTTTTTTTTATAAATTATTATGTGTACAAAATTTGCACACATAACTCACAAATTAAGAGTTATTTTGAGGGTTTCACTTTCAACTACTTGAGATTTGGTTAAGTAAAAAATAGGAAATTTGTAAATATATAATTCCAATATTCGCTTTAAGAAAATTGATATCACAATCTTTAACGCTTTAAAATTTAAAAAAAGATGATCCCTGAATCTTGCATTTACATTTGAAAATTTAAATTTGTACATTTATTTATTTTGATTTTGTGTTATAAATACATATTATGAATATTATTTGAATGTTATAATTGACAATTTTGTATACTTTAATATATAAATATTTAATTGAAATTGTCTCTATTTTTTAATGTAAAACATTTAATTTGTAAAATGTCCAACTACTGATTTCTGAATTTTTTGATAAAACACAAAATCTGATATGGAGTTTATCTAGAGTATAAATCTAAAATAAAAAAACGTTATACAATACTCATTGCAATAGTTTATTGCATTAAAAATAGTAATTTGATTAAAAAACATAAATTAATCAAACAGTTTTTAAAAGTTTAGAAAGATTAAAAGAAAAAATTCTAAATATTTTTTATTTATAACTACCATACATACAAATTATCAATACGGTTTTACAACATTTTATATAGATATTAAACCTGAGATATAAATATTAAACCTGAGACACCCTGTATATTTTAATATAATTTAATATAATTTTTATCAAAATATTCATTATAAAATAAATAATACTTAGAAAAAAAAAGACCACCACTTCTCAAAAAAAACTTGTTTAATATTTCCAAGAACCACTAATAATTCTCAGAAGTATTTTGAAAAATAAATATGTTTTTATTTTGCTATACACTGAAAGAAATATATACTAAAGTTAAATAAAAAAATAATTAGGGCAAATATATTTTATGTGTCATATATGGACTACCACATACATTGCTAAAACAAATATATTCGTTTGGTTAGCAGCCTATTGCTGCCCTAGCAATATAAATGGTGTTTCTAGCAATATTTTTTTGCTGTAATTCACTTATAGTTTACATTTTATAGTAAGGGTAAGTTTATTTTTATTTAGATCTAACATATCTTCTTTACAATAAATGTATTACAAAATTTAACATACATTCATAATAAACAGTAGTATAAATGTGTAAAGCACTAGTATAAAATTTTTAGTATAAATTTG